CGGGATGAAAAGCCAGTCCCGGGGAATGGGTCGAGACCTCCAGAGTTGACGTTATGGAAAAATCATAACGCTAGCCGCTAGGACTGGTTTCCTTTCGAAGCGGCCGAAACCCTGCCGAAACCCTCCGGAAACTCTCCGGGACCAGTTCCCAGGCCTTTCGGAGGGTCTCGGGAAGATGTTGGAAGGGCTTTCGTGGTTTTGAGTGGAAGCCAGTCCCCAGCGAACCCTGAGGGGCAACGATAGGGGGGCATAAGCATAGGGGGGGGCGCATCGGCCTGGACTCGGCGATACATCGTCGACAGATCGGCGATAGGCCCCCGAGAGCGAATCCGCACCTTCCTGGGCGGGTTGGGATTATCGGGCCCCCATCGGCGAGCAATGGGAAATTCGGGGTCGATACATCGCTCCCCATGTCCATCCCCCCCCCTTGTTGCTTCTGACCACCTAAGACTCGAGGAAGAGAAAACTGCATACAAAAGGAACTTTCGACGGTCTGCGCGGATGTCTCAGATCTGCGCTGGACTCCCCTGCCTGGCGCGCAGCGCCGGAAACGCCGCCACGGGGTCCAGCGCGGACGCAAGACATCCGCGTGGAACTCCAAAAGTTTATGTTTTTGCGCCGTTTTTTTTTCTTCTTCGAGAGGCGAAGCCAGGACGAGGATCCATTCGGGCGAGGGTCCAGTCGAGGCGGAGGCTCTTCGCTATGGTCGGCCGCCGGGGGCCCTCGCAAAGCCCTGGGACTGTCACAAGAAGACTCGGGATGACAAACGTGGGTCGAGAATTCTGGGGATCCCGTGCAGTATAATGCGGGATGACGATTGGTAAAAAATGGGAGAGAACGATTTAAAACATAGTTTTCTGCTCTTTCTGCACAATTATCTGACTGGGAGGAGAACGATTAAAAATAATAGTTTTCCAGCCCGCGGCCCGTTTTTTCTAATCGTCATCTTGGACGCCGCCGCGTGAACACGACCCCCGGTCATTTATTAATCGTCATCCTCCATTACTGTGAAGGCTTCTTGTGGTCGAGCTCCTAGAGGACCTCGACCAATTGTTTGGTGCAGGAGCGTCACGCTTTCCATCGCAAAACCATCGAAGCCCGAGAAACCCAGGGCACCCTGGAGGCAAGCAGAGTGTTTCTTGGCACGGGCTTCCACTGTTTTCTCGTAATTTTCGGTCTCTACAAGGGTCCTCGCCAGGCCCCGGGACTGTTAAAAAAAGATTCAGGCATGATGAAAAACTGGTCCTGGAAAATGGGTCGAGAATTCTGGGGACCCCGTATTGAAACAAACAGGACAATGGATTTCTCGGAAGACGAAGCCAGGACGAGGCTAAAATCGAGAATCTCTGAGAAAATCGGCGGCTCTCGAAGAGGTCTCGGGTGCCGCGGCCTTCTCAGCTCGTTCTGGAACGCTCTGAGTGTTCCGGAACGCCCTGGAGCTGACTCAAAGATCCGATGTCGTGATTTTTCCAATGCGCGGTCCCCGGAAGTCTCGACCCATTCCCCAGAACCGGTTTTTCATCCTGAGTCGCTTTGTGACGGTCCCTGGGCCCGGCAAAGGCCCCTAAATGCCGAAAGTTGAGAAAAACTTCCGTCTTGATTTTTGTCAATGCGTTGGATCTCTGGGGATCTGATCTATCCTCGTCCCAGCCCCGCCCGATCGCCCACCACGCCGGCGCCGCAGACGTCCGCGTGCTGCAGCGGCTCCCCGAGGCAGGACTTGACGGCACCGGGCGCTGCTGGAGAGGAGTCCCAGGCCCGAGGCGTCCCTGACTCGAGCCCCGGTTAGGTCGGACGTGTCCTCTGACAGGCAGATTTTGGAGGCGAGAACACTGTAAGAAAAAAAAATGGTCAAACATAGTCGAAAAATCATCCCAAATTATTGCTTTAGTACTTGTGAATACTCCTCCTGTAGAGGGACATGCCCGACTTAACCCGGGGGCCCTCTGGGCCTCGTGCGGGGCGCTCTGGAAGCCACCTGCGCGTCCCTGGTGCCAGTTTGCCTCCAGATTCTGGGATCGAGGGGCGAGGGAGGGTTGGTGGTGCGTGGCGAAGCCCGAGAGGAAATCATCATCACATCGCGCAAGTTGGGTCTGACCTGCACGCCTCTTCGGCCCAGAACTGCTCGAGCAGGCGGCGAAGGAGGGCGGGGTGGGGGAAAATGCCGTGCAAGGCAGCGTGCCAGAATCTGAATGGACATGCGCTCCTGGGGAATGGGGATCCTGCAGACACCTCGGGCCAGGGGCATCTCCACTCGGCATCGCTCGGACGTGTGCATGTTTCCCTCGGCGAGGGCCATCGAGGAGCACCCTCGATCGTTTGGCGACGAAAAACCACGCACGAAGCTGACAAAAAAAACACAGGGAATGGACGTCCGAGCGATGGCAAGTCCAGCCAGGGCCCGAGACGGGGTAGCGGTAGATGCTGTGGGCCGTCAGCAGGCACCGGGGCGGCGCAGGAGCCGGGCGCCGCGGCAGCCGCAGCAGCAGCAGCGGCAACGCGGCGGCCGCGGCGGCGCGCGGCGGCGGCCGCCGCCTGTCGGAGGGCATGGCGCCAGGTGGCGCGCTTGGGCCCAGAGGGCAGCGGGCATGCGAGCCTGGGCGGGTTGCCCAAGCTCAACACGGGAACGCTCGGCGGCGCGCACAAGGGGGTGGAGGGAGGGGGGAGGACTTCTTCGAAGGGGGCTGCTTCTTAGAAGGTACCGGCCTCACATCTATGGGTAGGGCCCGCGCCTTCTAAGAAGCAGGGGTGCTTCTAAGAAGCCCTCCCCCCTCCCCTCACCCACCTCTGCGCGCGGCTGAATCGCAGCATGTTCGAGCATGTGTGCCTTGGAACCACCATGGAGCGCAGCTATGAATCGAAACGTTTCAGGAAGTGTTGAAGTCATACGTTCAATGAGGCGCAGAAGTGTTCGACACAGGGTTGGCCGAACCAACGATCACGCTTTGGCAACGGCCCTGGCCTGGATGTGCAGGAGGCGCGGACCACCTCCCACGGCCACTGCGCCTGACAAGCTGCGTCACACGAGGCCTGTAATCATCGCACTGCCTCTGGTCACGAGTGCTGCGGTCAGAAAGCTAACTCGCAGCTTCATTTAAGTCCATGGCGCAGCGCGACGACTATCTTGTTCCGAAGAGGCTCGTGGCGCAACACCTAAGGAAACGCACGGTGTCGCATTCTATTCGGGCGGGCTCACATCGCAAACGGGTGCAAGCAAGACGCTCCATTGCTCCAGCAGCCGTCTGTTACTGCGCACGCCAAGAACATCCCATGACGTTCATGCAAACGCCAGAACAGTCTACATGATCGACAAACAAGGCACGGGTCCTATACAGGGGCAACGCGGGCGCGCCGGGACCCGGCCGGGCGATGGGGCAATGCATTCTGTGGGCGATGTAGACGTAGCGCACCACGTCGAAGTCGAATGCTTCCCGTAGAACTTGGTTAGCTGCAATCAATAACCATGATCTGTCGGCGTCGTCGCGGTCGCCGGTGTCTTCCGTGATGGTCGTGGTGCGCGGGAACTGGTCGGCATCGTGGGCTCACTGGGCGTAGGTCGTGGGCGCGTAGCCCCCACTCAGTGATTGAAGACATCCACCTGTTGATCTCGTGCGATGCCGCGCACGATGCCCACCTCGATCTTCGCTTGAGATGCATACGGCATGGCCCGATCCTTCCACCAGTGCAAATGAGGCACGATCGATCGGTGGCCGTGCGCGTGGCTCGCCGTATGCAGGTTACCCACGGCTTCAGCCCATGCTTCCATCCCTCGTCGCTGCTGTTGTGCGAACGGTCCTCGTTGCCTCTACCGATGGTGTCGGTCGCACCGTGGCTGGCGTCGGAACTGCCAGGTGTACTCCGCCGGTGAGCGCTGCGTCGCCGCAGCGCCCCCCATGACAGAGCTGAACAGATCCCGTCGGACGGGCCCGAAAGTGAGGGAGGCACATCCCTACAGTCGGGACGTTGACCTAAGGAACCCTAAACAAGGAACGAGGCCCCTTTTTCCCGTCAGTTGAAGTTCGACTTCCCACCAAAAACCTAAGGACAACCTGAGGCAAGCTGTGAAACAATCAAGGAGCACGGAGCCCCTCCCCAATGAAGAGGGTTGCTTCTTCGGCGCCCCGACTGCAGGGAGGGGGCCCGTCACCGAAGCGGAGACACCTAGAGTGACAGCTGCGCCAGCAGCCGAGCAGGTCACCGCGGAGAGGGACAGAGCTATGGAGCCTCCGCTCTCGCGAACTGCGCAGACACGATGTCCGTCGAGTTGGAAACGATCGACGACGTATTTTTTTTGCAAGCGCAAGAAGAGCCCCGTGGCAAGAGTCAGGAAAGGGGGGAAGAAGGTAGAGGGAAGGGGAGAGGAGAAACCAGCAGCAGCAGCAGCAGCAGCAGCAAACAGCCTAGGAAACGATCGACGGCGCACAGAGTCGCCCTGCGGGCGACGATGGACGACGAGCTGGGCGCGACCGCAGCGGCCTCCGCCAGAAGGAGAGCTCAGACGAGCGGGGCGTGGAAACGGAAGACACACGGCACGTTGCGACGCCAGCCGAAGGGGACACCGCCAGGCCGCAAATCAAGCACCTAGCGCGACAGGAGCACGTCTGATGGGCTAGGCGAAGGGGCGAAGGCAACGGGAGCGTCTACTGTGTCTGGCATGAGCTGGAGGCGGTCGCTGCTGACGCGGGAGCAATGAAAGTGAGCACAGCGACAACAGCCGACCAGATCACCATGGAGGTGAACACCCTTGTTCCGCACTCCCCTCCCAGTGCCTGGACTGGGCAGAGAGCATCCGTTGGACGTCACAAGGGCGAAGTGCGCGCGAGACAGAGAAAAAGACAGAGAGAGAGAGAGCGAGAGACAAACAGAGACAGAGAGAGAGAGAGAGAGACAGAGACAGAGACAAAGAGAGAACACGAGAGAGAGGGGGGGGGGAAGAGAGGGGTGATATGATGTGCGTGGTCAAAGAATTAGACAGGAAGGCAGAACGAGCAGAACCGGAACCTGGATTGGGATTACAAATCGGCCGCACTCGTCTGATGATCTCGTGCGCCTCCTGGCAGCCGTTTTTGAACAGCCATTCAAGTCGAAGCGGGTGGAGATGTCGCCAGTCCAAAACAGAAGGCTGTTGAGTCCCAGCCTCACTCTGGGTGGAACTTTAGCGGAGCAGCTCTTCCAACACAACCGCTTCGTCTTGGTCAGGAACCTACCCCTACCCTCCTCCTCCGTCTCCATCCTCCGTCTCCATCCTCCTCCTCCTCCTCCTCCTCCTCCTCCTCCTCCTCCCCTACCCCCACCCCCTCCAATGCATACTGGACCAGGGCGGTCGCCGGGCAGCCGGAGCGCCCAAGGTGGACTCGAGCTGGCTCCGGGAGAGCGCCAGAGGATCCCAGGATCGGCTCTCTCGCCATCGCTCGGACGTCCATTCCCTGTGTTTTTGTTCGGTTTCGTGCGTGTGGTTGTTTCGCCGAATGATCAAGGATGCTCCTCGATGGCCCTCGCCGAAGGAAAAATTCACACGTCCGAGCGATGCCAAGGGCTCTGAGATGGCGAAGGATGGCGGCCGAAGCTTGCGCAACATGATGTGGAGTGAGGGCAGAAGACGTCACGAGGTACCCACCCCCGGCCTTCTTAGGAAGTCCCCGAAGGGGCCCAAATACCTGAACGAGTAGTATGCTTCAAGGATGGTGGCCTGTTGGTGTTTACGCCCCTCGATGGGCATGTGAAGCATCTGGCTCAACAAGGCCGTGAGAGTGGCCCAAGGTCCCAAGAGGGCGGAACCTGGGCGCCAAGAGCCAAGAGCAGCTCGACGAATTAGCTCTTAGACATAGCGGACAGGACACCATACAGTGGAGGCCCGTCCACAAGAAACCATCCACAAGAGACCCAGCCCCGAGACCCCAGGGCGTCCATCGATTCTGGGTGTGGGCACGTCGCGCCCTCCGCAGCCGAGCCATCGACACCCAGGACACCCAGGGCACCCTGGAGGCAAGCAGGATGTTTCGTGGCACGGGCCTCCGCAGTGAGACAGTGCGGCGTGGAACAGCGCAAGGCCCCAGAGGCACGCTTCCACACCCAGTGACATCCAACCCCCCCCGCCTTTTCGGGGCGTGGGGTGAGCGCTCCCTCCTCCAGCCACCCTCCTTCCCCTTCGGGGGCGGGGCCTGCCCCCCCCCCCCCCCCCACACCTGCCTCCTCCCCTGGACCTGGACGGGGAGGTTCGCGACCCGCGGGAGCGTCCAAGACGGCATCGGCAAAACGGCAAGCAGAATTGACTATGCTTAGGTTTTGGGCCAATCTTGGCCTTCTCGGGGTGGGGGGCTAATTGGCCCCCCCCCTTCTCTGATCGATTCCCTCCAACATTGCCTCAAGGTTGCCCTCAACGTTCCCAATAGCACCCCAAGAGGGCCCCAAGGGGCTCTCAGGAGGCCCGAAGAGGCCCCCGAGAGGTCCCCGAGAGGGCCCCAAGAGGCTCCAGAAGGCCCCAAGAGGCACCCAAGACGCTCAAAAAGAGGCCCCCAAGACGTCCAACGAGAACTCCAAGAAGCTTTCAAGCGACATGCACAGGGACTCCGAGAGGAATCCAATAGGCCTCTGACCATTCTGTTCGCCCTCCTCCTCCTCATCCTGCTCCGCCTGTGTCCTGTGTCTCCTCCTCCCTCCTCCCTTTTCCATCTCTCCCTCCTCCTCCTCCTTCTCCTCCTTCGTCTCCTCCTTCTTCTCCTCCTCCTTCTCCTCCTCCGACGACGACGACAACGACGACGGCGACGGTTCCTCCCCTTGGGGTGCGATGGTTTCCCTAGCCCGTTATTCCACTGCATGCTCCTACACCTCCCTTATCAAAGTAACTCGCCTCGGCATCGCTTCTGGATGGGCTGGTGAGGCTGCGCGAAGCGTCTGGAAGATCACCACCATCCGCATGCAAATGTACCGCATGACCATCATGACAAACTTGCAACTCCGCTGGAACTCTACATTCACGGGCTTTGAATTCATCCGGGCGCACAGAGGAATCATTCGGGGCAACAGTGGTAACAAAGCGGGACAGCATCCAACGCCAACTGAACTGAATCAACACTGGCGCACATCTTCCAACACACGTACACCGCAACAACCAAAAACCGAAACTGATGGCGGGGGGCGGCATGACAACGGATGTCACAACCGTGTGCGTCCACTGCACCCGTGCGGAGGGTCAACTATTCGTGCGTTTCCCCTCGTGCCTGTGCACGAAAGATCGCGGGCTGCTTGTGCAAAATCTCCGCTCCACAAGCCGAAGAAGAAACGGCTCCACCCGCGTGCGCTCGCCTGCCTGCGAACAAGACTGAGCGTAATGTGATGCCTTCCCGTCTTGTGGAGGGCGCAGATGAAGGGGCCCCAAGACACACAAATAGATACACACAAATAATCAGATTCCCCATAGTTTCCTAAATGTTGGGGGTTGTTGTCTTCCCCCACTTCTATATTTTTGCATAGTTTCCTGAGAATCGGCGATTAATTGTGTCTGTGTGTTTTTCCCCCTCCTGAGCAGAACCTTTTCATCACACGAACCTCGCGCATGAACCATTGTGTGCGACAGTCAACGATATGTTGCGGACGACTGACCTGGTCTCGCTCCTGGCTTTACCCTGCAGAAACGGAGTGGGAAATTCTCGGAAGCTTTCGGAAGGAAAATGACCTTCTCGTCTCTCGTTCTCCTCCTTCTCTCGTCCTCCTCCTACTCCTCGCCATCTTGATTTCTCATCCACATCTTCGGCATGCCCTCCTGCGCCACGAGAAGGAGAACCCATGTATCGTTCAGTCCAGTCGCAGGCCCAGCTGAACAAATGACTTCAGCATTGTGTCAGCTGCTGCTTATACGATGTGGAAGATCCGAAGGGCAAAAGTCGGGCCGACTGCTGCTTCTTCGAATCATATGGCCTCCCTCTGGCGAAGAATGAGGAGCAGGAGCAGGAACAACATCAATCTAACACCTAGCGTTACCCACGACAACGCCGATGCATGATATCGTTCCTGTCGAAGCGTCCCTTAATTTTCCTCCAAATGCAAGGGGCTGGTGGTGGACTTGCAGTGCCAACTGCAAACACGTGGACCATGACCGTCGATGACGATCCACACTCAGTGGTGGGCTTGTTTTCCACCGCCACCACTACAAGTAGGAGGGGGAGGGGGTCCTCTTCCTCCTCCTCCTTCTCCTCTTCTTCCTCCTCCTCATCCTCCACCTCCTTCCCCCCTCCAACGTATGGTGGTGGCGGTGGAAAACAGGCCCGTCAATCAGTGATTGCCATGATGGGGTCCCAGCGGACGTGGAGGGAACGAGCGACAACACGGGGCCGATTGCATGGGGGCGGCCGGGCTCCCCCAGGAGATTCCCAGCTCCTGGGCCCGACCAAACCGACGGGCCATCTCCGGTGAGCGCCAGAGATCTGGGGGCCCCAGGTCTGGGAGGAGGAGGAGGCGGAGGAGGAGGCGGAGGAGGAGGCGGAGGAGGAGGAGAAGGTGGAATATTGGCCGACTTCGGTGGGCGGAGCTGCGAGCAGAGAGTACGTAGCAGCGAGCAGAGAGCACAGCTGAGCAAAAAGAGCGGGGAGTGGAGATAGATACCACAGCAAACTGAGAGGGCAGATAGGATGAGCAGAGCAAGATCAGAAAGGCAGACACGGGCAGAGAGAGAGAGAGATGGAACGAGAGAGAGAGAGGCGGAGAAGAGAGAGAGAGAGAGACAGAGAAAGAGAGCGATATAGAGAGAGCGTGCTTGTGACTAGGGTCAGAATCAGTGAGAATTGAATCTGGCAAATCGGAGAGTGCAGAGAAGACTGGAGGAGAAATGGAGGGAGGGAGATCGCATGGAGAGAACGAGAGAGCACAGACAGAGGGCAGGCACCGTGCACAGTAGCTCTGGCGGCGTTCACGGCTGGAAGGAGCGGACCACCTGCAAAGAAGTAGGGGCCTCCAAATTGGGGGCGTTCCCGATTGTGCAGTTATACTCATGAATGTATGTCGCCTCGTGTCCCTCCTCCCTCATTACATCCATTCCTCCGTTCCTATCTCCCTGCCTGCTCCTCGTGCTCCTCCTTCCTCCTCCATTCCCATCATTCTTACTTCCATCCTTCTCCTCCTCCATCCATTCCCTCCTCCTCCATTCCCATCATACTTACCCTCCACAACTCCTTGAAGCACGTAGAGCCATCAGGAACCCATCGTCCTTCTTCTCGTTCCTCCTCGCTGCTTTGACGAGGCGGCTCCTTGAAAGGCAAGTGGTTGGTCCACATGAGGTACGCGATGACCATCGTCGCGGACCTGCTGACCCCCTCTCTGCAATGCACCAGCACCTCGGCTTGCTCGAATGAGTAGGAGGACAGAAGTCGGGAGCGGCAAAGAGGGGGGTGTCCAAGAGGGGCGGGTGCAAATCATGACCGACAGCACGTGCGCGGCCCAGCGGAGGGGCCAGGGACGTAATGAAATGGGAAGAGGCGCCATGAAATCTGGGGAGATATCATGGCCCGCGCCACGATATCCACCCCCCCCTAGTCATCACCCCCCTCTTTTCCGCCCCCGAAGAAGGGGGATCCGAGCATAGGAAAAAGGGCGTCCGGAAGAGATCTGAGGCTCTCGGCGAAAGTTCTGGATGCCCTCTGCGCCGCACGCTCGCGGGGGAAGGGGGAAGTTGGGAGGGGCAGGAGGAGGAGGAGGAGGAGGAGGAGGAGGATGAGGATGAGGATGAGGAGGAGGAGGAGGAGGAGGAGGAGGGTAGTAGTAGTAGTCGTAGTTAGTAGTAGTAGTAGTAGTAGTAGTAGTAGGAGGAGGAGGAGTAGGAGGAGGAGGAGGAGGAGGGGGAAGTTGGGAGGGGCAGGAGGCGGACGACGACGACGGGGACGACGGGCCAACGAGTTCCCCGACGACTGCCCGCACTCATGGGGCTCCTAGTGTTGTGGATGCCGCGACACTGGACACCCTTGACAGTCCTGTCCTTGAATTGAACATGTGTTTAGTTTGTCGGACACATGTTCTCATCATGTTTTGAACATGGGCTTCACGCATGGTGAATCCATGTTTTATACATCTGGGAATTATTTGGCAACATGCTTCCTCTCTATAGATCCTCCTCCGCAATCCTAGTGTTACGTCGGGCGTGTCCCCCTACAGGGGGGATCTTGGGCGCAAAATGAAAGATACTCAACACACACACACACACACACCCGAAATGCTAAGCAATATAGTCAACACGTCGTCCCTGGACTAACGTTTTTTTGACTATTTTTGGCTATTCTCCCCTGTAGAAGGACATGCCCGACTTAATCCTAGTGGAAACCCGTCAAACATATCCAGAAATGGAAGTTGAAATCCTGGGGCACGATATTTCCAAGCACTTGTCAGAAAGCGCGTTCTTCCATGCCGAGATGGCGGGGTCGGTGCTTGGACAACGCCGCGTCCGAATCAACAGGAATCCGTCAGCATTGGAGCACCGCTGACCCCACAATCACCGAATTCAGAAGCCTTTCGATTATTTTTGACGAGGCTTGTAGTGGAAACCTGACGGCACGTGCCGCAGCTAGTGTCCCCCTACAGGGGCCTGTAGTGTCCCCCTTACAGGGGGATCTTGGGCGCAGAATGAACAATACTCCACAAACACCCCCGAAATGCTGAAACATAGTCCAGACATCGTCCCCAGACTATTGGAGAGGCCTGACGGCCGGTGCCGCCGACCCTGATCGAAAGGGCTAGGAGTGGGGGGAGGAAGCGGAGGAGGAGGATGAGGAGGAGGAGGAGGAGGAGGAGGAGGAGGGGGAGGAGGAAGAGGAGGAGGAGGAGGAGGAGGAGGAGGAGGAGGAGGAGGAGGAGGAGAAGGAGGAGGAGCAGGAGGAGCCCCTGACTATTCTCGTTTGCGTAGAAGCACAGGCCCGACTCAACCCTGGTGGGAACCCGCCGGCGGCCCGTGCCGCCGCTCCGCCGCGCGGGCCGCCCCGTGGGCGCCCCCCCTCTGCGCCGTGCGGGCCACCTGCCAGGGCTTCGCCCGCGCGGCCGGCCGTCGGCGGGCGGCCTCCCCGCAGGGCGCCCGGCGGGCGGCCGGCCACGCGCGGCTGCCGCCGCGGCGCAGCTCACATCCCACACACGGCACGGGGCCTTCGGACCACGAGGCGCCCATCCACGATGCGGCCCACTCTCCACGTACCTCCCTCCCCCCTCCTCCTTCACCCCCCCCCGCCTCCTCCTCCTCCTCCTCCTACTCCTCCTCCATCCTCCTCCTCCTTACCTCCCCTCCTTACCCCTCCTCCTCCTCTCCTCCTCCTCCTCCTCCTCCTCCTCCTCCTCCTCCCTCCTCTCCTCCTCCTCCTCCTCCTCCTCCTCCTCTTTCCCCTCCTCCTCCTCCTCCTCCTCCTCCTCCTCCTCCTCCTCCTCCTCCTCCTCCTCCTCCTCCTCCCTCCTCCCTCCTACCTCCCTCCTCTCCTCCTCCTCCTCCTCCTCCTCCTCCTCCTCCTCCTCCTCCTGGATTCTTCCATGGATTCTTGGCGCGGGAACGCCACGCCGTCCGTCGCGAAACACATCTCCGCATCCAAGGCACCCGGGGCCCCCTGGAGGCGGGCAGGGCGTTTCTCATTGGCATGGGCCCCCACTGCAGCCGGCACGTGGAGCTGCCGTAGAAGTCGCACGGAAGGGGGCTACTTAGGAGGGAAACGAAGGACACCAAGTGGACCATGTTGAGCCAGGCATACGGCCACACTAATCCCCACCCTTCCTCCCCGCAGAGCAGCAGAAACAATGCACAACTCGATACTCGCATCGCACCGCGCTCCCACCCGGCAAGCGGGAAGCCGCTCGCGCGCGGCCCCGCTCCCGACGACTTGGCGAACACGACGCGGGCCGCGGGAAAGGGCGGGAGCGGCAACGCTTCCGATGGGCGCGGCGGCGGCGCGGCGTGCCCCGCGCCCCCACGGCACTGCCACGTTCAGTCACCGGCGGGGCGGTGAGGTCGGCACTCCGCCCGCTCTCGCGCGGCCCCGCTGCCGCTCCACTGCCGCTTTCAAGGAGCCCTGGGACACACAGATGAATAGACTCAAACAAGAGGATTCCCCATAGTTCCTCATATGTTCTGGGTTTTCGTAGTCCCCCCACTTCCCATATCTTCCCCACATTTTCCTGGCAATCGACGAGTAATTGTGTCTTTCTGTTCTTCCCCATCCAGACGCTTGTCGTGCGGGTGGGCGATCCAACCAGGCGCCGCGCCCGCGCAGGAGCGCCGCTCCCGGGCAGAGCTGCGCACGGGGCCTGGGCGCGGGCGGCGGGCCCCCCCCCCCCCAACGAGAACATTGGCGAGTGGCAGAGCTGCGCCGCGCGGGGGCGGGAAGGCCACCTCCGGGCGACCTCTGCGCGGCGCCGAGGCTTCCCCGCGCACCCCTCGCGCGTCGACGGCGATGCGCGCGACCACTGCGCGGCGCGCTGAAGCGGGAGCTCGAGTCTCTAGAAGCGCGGGCGCGGCGCCGAGGCCACAGTGACAGTCCGTGCCTCTCGCGCCGGGTGCGCGCCCCGCCCCACTGATGCCACGCGTTGGTGCAGCACGAGCTATACAGACCGCCCATGTTGAATGTTGAGACGAGAAGCGTCGACGTGGTGGTACTGCTCCAATCCATCCTGTGGTGCCGGGTCCTCGTTTTGAAGAGACAGCGCCCCGACAGCGCCCCGCGCCCTTCCTCCCTCCGCATCGCCCTCCTACCTCCTCCCCCTCATTGCCTCTGCCCTCCGCGTGTCTCAGCTTCGGCACACCCCATCACATGCTTCGTGGCCCCATCGGGAGTTCCACCGAGGGGCCCACATGCCAGCGTTCGCATGCGCCCACCGTGCCCACTCTGACACGCCTCTTGAACAATTCGTGGCTCCATGGGGAGCACCACCGACGGCCCCAGTGGCTGCGTCCGCATGCGCCCATTGAGCCCAATTTGGCACAACCCTCCAACGCTTCATGGCCCCATGGGTAACTCCACCGGCGGCCCCAATGGCTGCGTTCGCATGCGCCCACCACACTCATTGTGCCCCCCTCTCACACGATTCGTGGCCCCATAGGGAGCTCCACCGACGGCCACAATAGCTGAGTTCGCATGCGCCCCCCGCGCCCATATCGGGACACCCCTCACACGGTACGTGGCCCCATGGGAATGTCCACCGACGGCGACAGTAGCTGCGTTTGCATGCGCCCACCGCACCCATTTTGGCACACCCCTCACACGCTTCGTGGCCTCATAGCGAGCTCCACAAACGGCACCAACAGCTGCGTTCGCACGCGCCCACCGCATCAAGCGCTTCGTGGCCCCATAAGGAGCTCCACCGACGGCCCAAATGGCTGCGTTCGCGCGCGTTCACCACACCCATTTTGGCATCCCCCTCACACGCGTCGTGGCCCTCTAGGGAGCGTCACCGACGGCCCCAGTGGCTGCGTTCGCACGCGCCCACCGCACCCATTCCTCAGAGGTTACGTGGCCCCGTGGGGACGCTAGGCGACAGTGGCTGCGTTCGCATGCGCCCACCGCACCGATTGTGACACCCCCCTCACACGATTCGTGGCCCCATAGATGCCATAGGGAGCTCCACCGACGGCCCAAACGGCTGCGCTCGCATGCGCCCCCCGCGCCCATTTTGGCACACCCCTCACACGCTTCATGGCCCCAATGGGAGCTCCACCGACGACCCCAAAGGCTGCGTTCGCACGCGTCCACTGCACCCATTTTGGCACACCCCTCATACGTTCCGCGTCCCAATAAGGAGGCTCCACCGACCGCCCCTATTGCTGCGTTCGCATGCACCCACTGCACCCATTTTGGCACACTCATCACACGTTTCGTTGCCCTATAGGGAGCTCCTCCGACTGTGGTGCAGACAACCACGGTGCTCACAGCTGCACATGCCTGGGTACGTAGCCAAGCTGATTGCTTATTACACATAGCATGGATGGTCCCGGAGGGGGTGGGCTATCTGCTGGCTGTGGGCAGAGGAAAAGCATATGATCCCAGGTCGAGATTTCACGATCCCGCCCCAGGGTTCCACAGTTCCCCCCCCCAGATGGGATGCTGGGGGGGCGACGACGACGAAAACGACGACAACAACGCCGACGACGACAACGCCGACGCCGACGCCGACGGAAGACGAACGCGGCGACGACGACAACGACGATGCCGACGCCGACGCAAACGCCGACGGCGACGCCGCTACCGACGCCGAAGCCGACGGAAGACGATGACGACGCCGACAGAGGACGACGCCGACGACGCCGACGCCGACGCCGACGACGACGACGACGACGACGACGACGACGACGACGACGACGACGACGACGACGACTACGACGACA